TTTCCCAGCCGTCATGAGGAGGAGTTGTACAGTTCTTATGGCCACATGGGTAAAGAGAGAGGACCACAGACAACACCACGTGTTTTCTATAGCCCAGAGTTGGGAGGGAAGCACCCAAACTTTTCATTCCAGTAAGGACACAGAAATTTAGCCAGGATTGAGAGAGGGAGAGAGGGAGATGTGAGCACTTGTGTACTTGAAGGAAATGTGACACAGGGATCCTACAGCAGAAAACAGTAAGGGCCTGCCTTGGGCCAGATGGGGATCTGGACAAGGGTCTGGAACCAGGATGACCACTTCTGAAGGCAAAACAGGACTCTTCTGATGTCTACTTGCCCAGATTCCTCCCTAGGTCAGCTCCCCTCCCTCACTCCCACCAGACACACGTAAACACACTCTAGAAGCACCATCCCTAGAGCTTAGATGCCTTCCCTGAGTCAGAAAATAGGAAAGCCCTTCTTTGGCTGAAAACTCTGCAATGACTGAGTTTATCTGAACTAACTAGGACTGTGTTTCCTGCCATCAGATGTATTAGTAATGCAAAGAGAAATTTAGTTGAAGTTTTCCTTTTTCACACACTAGAGTACATTGCTTGGGAATGGCATGACGCCGTTGTGGAGCCAACCAGTGACATTTGTGCCTTTCTCAGTGATGTGGAGTGAAATTGGACATGGTAGAGCTTCCCCAGGGTAGGAGATTGGAAAGTGGAGTGCTAAGTCTGGGTAGTAGAAACAGGCAGTAAATAGCAGATCTTTAATAATGATTTCACTGAGCAAAACTAGTAGTAATTTCCTATGAACAGCTGCAGAATTCAACTGTAGAAACTCAAAATGAACATATTGAGTAAAACTAATTAGAAGAGGACAAAAAAATGCATGATGTAAATGCAGGACCTCCTGTTATGACTTGCAGGAGATACATTGGAAGGTCAGAGACCCAGGGCTCCTGGATTGCAGAAAGGGCATAACTGATCTTGTTCTGCGGTCCAAGGCAGGAAAGGAGACAAGAAGTCCCAAAGGGGTATTATAGGACAAGAGGAGGGTTCAAGGAAGCAGACAAGTTTGCAGAGAGGAGTTGAAATGACAGTCACTGGAGGTGAAAATGATAGTACTTAGTAAGTAGGATGAGTTCTTAGAAACAAATTGTCAACCTAAATATAATGAAAACAAGCAGGGTATACCTAAGCTTCTTAAACTGAGCTCTTGCTAAAGCCCAATGTGAGATAACTGGGACATGAGTTGAACTGGAATTTGCTATTGTTATCTTAATGGAGGATGGGTGTGTCAAGAAAATTAACAGTAAGACAGCTTGCAGGAGTGTGTGCAAACCAAGGGAAGCAACTGTGTCCAATCACCCCCAAGCACTTAGAAGCAACCATTTACCTGTAAAGAATAATTAGGCTAATTGCATATCATTTGTAACTCCCCAGGGAAGGAGATTCCATAAAAGATCGTCATTAGGTAATATTTGGCAGTCTTGGTTCATGTTTCTCCCCTCACCTGAGAGTAATAGAACTGAGTTCATTTGCATTATTTTATAATTTAGGCAATTTACTAATTCAGACAGATTTCCCTCCCAGTTACTTTGAATTAATTTTCTCATCATTAAGAATCAGAGATTCAGGAAACATTGCTAGAGAATTCACCCACGAAATTAAGGGCTATTATGAAGAATTTCATCTTTGTCTTCCACTTGGACAGGTTTATATTCAGGTCCCCTATCCGCTTGCTGATGAACTAGGTCCCAGCCTCCTTGAAAACTTCTGGTAGATTCTTGAAGCCCATATAGTGCTGGGGGCCGGGACTTGAGGAGGTGAACTGGATGGACCTTGAAAGTCTGAGAAATTGGAAACCATGTATGAAACCAGGGGATGAGCTGAGAATCTTGAACCCAGGACCACAAAGGGTTAGTCACATGAAGCCCGTGATGGAGGAAGGGGTGGTGCACTCACCTCCAACCTTCCTGGTGATATCCAAGGACATCCTTAGGATGCAGAGTAGGTTAGAGCAGTGGGAAGCAAGGGCAAGAATTTAGGAGTAGAGGTGAGAAGGAGGAAAAGGCTCTAAGCCCGTAAAGAAAGGGCTAGTAAGATCTAGTCAGGGATGTCTTGCCTCCCGCCAAGAAAGCTTTGGGGTTCCAAGGAGAACTAGAGTGCTGGGTAGGAAACCAGGTTAGAAGCCCAGGCATGTAGACTGAGCAAGACAGCTGAGACTAGGTAAGGTTGTAACATGGTGGGAACGGGTTCCTTAGGGCTACACCAGGTACTTGTTACCAGTCTTTGGTGCCAAAACTAATTCCATACCCCACTCACTGGAATCTGTAACTTACCTTGGTCATGTGGGCTTAGAAATGGGATAAGGATGAGCAGAATGTGCCTGCAGAGAAGGATCTCTACAGCTGGTAGAAACCAGGCAGGGCAGAGGCAGACATGTGGAGCCACGGTGAACAAGACCCCCACCTCTGTCACTGAGAAAGCAAGCTTTCTGTTGCCCAGCCGCGTAAAACATAGGCAGGTGACAGAAAACAGAACACTGCACTTCATTTATGCAGTAAATATTTATTGAGTATGCCTAGCATGGTGCTGGTTTCTGGAGAGAATATGAAACAAACGTTAGGTATTCCTTTCACTCAAGGAACTTAATGACTGTTACACATTAACCTGACACATATTGACATAGCAGTTGAGGACAGAGCTGGATTAAGTGGCAAGGAGAGAGGTACACTCCATGACACTACTGGGACTCAGAGGAGGGATGAGTCAAGGGGCATGATGGAGGAAGCAACCCAAGGGAGCCTTAAAGAATGGGTGAAATTTAGATGAAGATGGAAGGCAATTCCAGATGGAAAGATACATGATAGGTTGCAATAATTAAACGAAATACTTCACAGAAGTCCTTTAGAAAGGTTCCTGGCACCAAGAAAACCCACAGCAAATGAGATGTACGGCTATTGTGTTGTTATTATTTCTGCTACTTTTACTGTTGTTACCATTTTAACTTTTATGATATTTTTACTGCTTTTGGTAAAGTCATTGGAGATTAAAAGGACACATCTGTAAGATGGTCAAGAAGCAAAGCTCTGACTTTCTTCTTGAGAAGAATGTGGGGTAAAAGGATCACAGTGAACACGAGTTTTGCACCAGAACTATTTCTGTATCAACAGTGCATCAAAATGGCTTGGGCTCAAAGGGGACCATGAAAAAAAGTCACACTAGGACATTTAAGCTAGGGTCCCACAAACACCACCGCTGACTGCTGTGTAACTAAAAATCACTGTGTTGTAGTCAATGATTGCATCTCTCAAAAAAAGAAATGGAACATTCTAAGCTCCTGGCCAGACATAATTCCTCTCTTTCTGCTCCTTTCCTCCTCCAGTGGTCCCAGTTGTTTGACAGCAAGCATATCACTAGGGACGAGATAAAAATGATGTGATTTCTTTAGTGCCTAGAGCTGATATTGCCAGGACGGAGAGCAGACATTACTAGAGAGTGAGCCAGGATTTGTTTGTCCAAATATTCAAAACATCCCCTCAGGAGCTGTATTCAAAAAATGGCAAATGAGATTTTAGCTGAGAATGATTATTACCAGAGTATCAGACCAACTGCCTTATCGCTGATTATTATCCCTTTTGCAATGGCCAGTCTGTCTTCATTTTGTTTGCTGTCCTGTTCTATAAATATCAAAGAGGCTACGGAGGCAGTGTCACTGAAAGGAGCCGTGTGCTTCCTGGGTGCACAAAGCTTGCTTCTCTGAGACAGAATCTCTGGGTCTGCAGGCTGACTTCATAGAGGGGGATTATTCAGTCAGCGGTAAACGGCAACGAACTCCAATTTCAGTTTCTATTTTCTATCGTGGAGCTGGGTAGCTGGGCTGTGCGTGCGCACGCATTAGGAGGTGGCTCTAAGGGACTGAGTCCCCTGCAGCCAGCCTAAGTAACTTGTCCGGGCTCTGCTTTGCTACGTTGTCTCTTGGTCCTTGAGCAGCGCTAGGCTGCCTCCCGGGACAGCTCCCTGCTGAAAGTTTTATTCCGAGTGTTCAAAAAGAAGCAAAGCTCCAGTCGAGAGGTGGATATTACAGTATTTCTACCTTGGCGAGTAAAAATCAAATAATTTCAAGAACACTCAGAGGATTAAAAAAAAAAAAAGCTGCTAGAATTTTTCTTGAAGTATTTTCCCTATTGGTATAAGAGACCCGTTTGATCCTGACCTGGGAATTATTGCAATGACTGAATGCACCATCAGGCAGCGCGTGAAATAACCTGTTGCCCCAGCTGATGCAAGAAGCAGGAAACTGTTGTTTTCTAGATGCCGGTTTGTTCCTGGCTATGATCTTGTTGCAGAAGATGGAACAGTATAAGCTTAATAAGGATCATTTCCTCAATGTTGCCGTTGGATACTTTGAAGGTGAAACTCACCAAACTCCAAGATCCTCGTTTGTTCTACGCGGCAACTTGTTGTAAACGGTGGCACCGCCAACTACAGCCAAACAATCTATTTCTCACTGATATTCAGTGGAAGGCTCAACAAAGAAAGCGTGGTCTTTCCTTCCTTATTCAGTGCTGTGTCTCTCGTTGCACCAGGCACTGTCCTGGGGCATGTGGGCTTTCCACATCTCTGATATTCCTAGCAAAAAGTCACAGAAATAACCCCCACAAGAAACAGACATTTCAAGCACTACTCTAGGATTAATTAAAAGTGCTTTCACCTAAGGAAAGGGGGAAAATAAAAAAATCATCCACTCATAAACGCTACTCATTATTCACACATTTTCAGCAGCAGCAGAAAAGCTCCAGCAGTATTCATAATAAACTATAATATACGTCCTTGCATAGTATGAAAAACTCGTTGCTTTAGCTCATCATTTTTCTTTTACTCTTTTCAGTAAAGAGAAAAAACTACACCCATCCACATATATTGGCTAGAATTCTTTAACTGAGTCTCTTAAATTCTACTTGTCTCATTATTTAAAATCAGTGTTCAGAGTGGAAGGCAGGAAACTTACCCTGAAGGAGTAGTAGAAGGAGCCCCATTCCTCTCCTTCCACCACTTCAGTGAAAGTCACTGTGCCGGTGCAAAGGACTGGGGAGGAATCCAGTGTCTGCATGGTCCCGTTGGAATTGGGGCTGCCCTCTGTGAGGTTGGCTGGCATGGCTCAGGCGGAGTTGAGCCTGGCTGTCCCCGTGCCTGCAGCAGAGGAAGAGAGTCCAGCTCCCGCCTGAGAGCTGGGCAGCAGCTGCAGCTCAGCGCCTCCTCTGCCTCCCAAGGCTTCTGGCTGGAGCTTGGCTGAGCAGAGGCTCAGAGCCCTCCTGGAGCCCACCTCAATGAAGAGCTCTGCCTGACGACAGGGAGAATCCACGTGCTGCTCTCTCCTCAGCAGCTCCGATCCAGTAGCCAGCACAGCCTCATCACCAGCAGTCCCGCCCAGGGCGGGGGCCTCACCCTGAGAACAGGTGGGAACCCCCCTATAGTGACCCACATGGCTCCTTGGATAGGCCTCCCTGGTGAGTTGTGCTTTTCCTAACTTCCAGAGTGCACTCCACTTCTGCTCCAGCTTCGATAATACAGGAATTTGGACTACGCAGCAGGTCAATTAATTCAGATCATGTTTGCACTTCTGAAATCAAATCATAATTACACATTTGTTTCAGTTGAGGTTGGCTTTTGACTTAAAATCCTTACCCAGCCATTTACTTAGTAGCCTGCACGTTATTTCAGTAAATGTGAGCAAATAGCACACTGGTATTCACACCTGCATTTCTTCTCTAGGTTTTCACAGGGCAGCTCTCAGAAAACCTGGGGGGGCTGTATTAGTCAGTAAGCCACGACCCCTCATGATGTGACTGGGAGTGATGCCTGGTAAATACTCTTAGCACTTCGATGTTCTTTCATTGGATGTCCAAAATCACTCTGTGCCATAGCCAGGGAACGTATCCTTATGTCCTCATTTTCACTAGAAGAGACTGGCTCTCAGATGTGAAATGACTTGCCCAAGATCCCCCAGCTGGTGATGGAAATGAGTTGATAACTGACCTCTTCAGAAGTTCCCAGAGAGGGGTGCTTTCACTGTAGCATACACTGATGTGCATGGAACCTCAAATGCCTATCGAGGAGTGAAGTTAACATGAGTAAGAGTAGCAGGCCAGGTGTAAAACAAAAGGACTAAGCTGCTTGTTTTGCAACCAAGCATAAATACTTGATGACTTAAATTGAAACGCTCTGTGAGCCAAATATGTGCAGCCACTACCTAATAACGCCTGGCATAAGAAGTAGCAGGTTTAGCGATGATCACAAAAGACTGGAGTGCCCGGGAAATTTCCTGGGAAAGATTTAGTATAATCCGTCCAGCCCAGGAAGAGTACAGTGTACTAGAGATGAGAAGATATTGTCTATAGGAAGGGATAGCAAATAGGAGTGAGCTTTCCAGAAAACTGGATGAGCTGTGGGCTCCTAGGGAAAAGGTCAAAACAGGATGACAACCCAATAGCAAAATGAGCAAAGAATATTCTGACTGACAAACAGATATGAAAAGATGCTCAATCACATTAAAAATTAAGGAAAAGCAACTTGAAGCAATGACAGAATTTTAATCTATTGGCATAGTGAAAACTAGGGTGTGACAACCCCAAGTGTTGACAACAATGAGATGAAATGGGTATACTTTTTCTCTTCTGGTGAAAGAGTTAGATGACATGGTTACTTTGAAGAGCAATTTGGCAGTTTCCAGCAAAGCTGAAATTATGTAGCCTATAATGCATCCTTCCGTTTCTTGATGCTAGAAATTTTCCATCTCTTTATCTTGGTTTCTTATATACCTGGGTTATGTATATTTAATTTAGGGAACTTCATTGCACTACACACATAAAATGTATGCACTTTTGGTAGGTATGTTTTACTTCAATAAAAACTCATAAAACAAAATCTCTGAGACATTCTGAGAAAGGGCAAAAGCTGGTTAAGTCATAGTGTGGGGAGGGTGGAGAGAGAGAAAATTGTAGATGCCATAAGCAGGGAATAGGTTAAGAGGGAACTTTCTGGTTGTGTTTTTTTTTTCCTCCACTCATGGTCCGGATGGATGGTTTCTTAACCTGTGGCTACTCAAGAGAAACATTTATGTACATGCTCAAGGAGACATGCGACAAGATGCCTTTGCAACATTGTTTAGAGACAAATCAGAAGCAACCTAAATATTCATGATGACAAAGTCAGTGAGAAGCTCCAAACTGGAAACTACCCACATGCCCATCAACAGTGGACGGATAAATAAATTTCCATGTAGTCACACAAGGAAATGCTATACATCAATGAGGATAAATAATCTTAGGAAATATAACATTATAGATGAAACTCACAAACATAATATTAAATGAAACAGTACATTTTTTATTTATAAAATATATTACTATATATGTGTATATATACATACACATATGTATATGTAGATGTATATGTATATATATGTATATGTGTATGTGTATACACATGAAATACAGTACAGCAGTTTAAAGGAATGTTTGCAGATGGAAAACTAACATGGTGTGATGGTTAATTTTATGTGTCAACTTCACTAAGGAGCCAGGTGCCTAGATATTTGGTCAAACATTATTCTTGATGTGTCTGAGGATGTTTCTGGATGAGATTAATTTTTGAAACAGGAGACTGAGTAAAGCAGATGGCCCTCCCTGATGTGGGTGGCTTTCATCCAATCAACTGAATAGAACAAAAAGGCTGATCCTCCTGCAAATACGAGGGAGCTCCCCCTGCCTGACTGCTTTGAGCTGGAACATTGGTCTTTTCAGGCCTTTGGACTTGAACTGAAACATCAGCTCTTCCTGGGTCTCAAGCTTGACAGTTTTTAGACTAGACCACACACCAGCATCCTGGTTCTCTGGCTTGCTAATTACAGATCTTGGGACTTCTCAGCCTCTATAATCACAGGAGCCAATTCTTTATAATCTCTCTCTCTCTCTTTCCCTCTCTCTCTATGTATATCCTATTGGATAGACATACATTTACATATAAATATTTATTAAATATAAATATAAATACATATTTAAATATAAAATATAAATACATAGAAATATAATATAAATAAATATATCATAGGGGAGGAAGACATTTCCTCTACCCTCTCTGGGTTCTTCTGGCTGGAGAACGAATTAAATTCACATGAGACAGAATAGCAGTAGAAAATTAAACACAGCTTTATAACATGTATACATGGGAGAGGGTCAGGCAACCTGAGCAACTCGCCAAAATGGCTGAAGGCACCACCTTAAATATCATCTTCAGCTAAAGACAAAGGAGGATGTCGGGGGTGGAAGGGGAGTTGATCATGGGAGATTACCACACAAGTACAGTAAACAAGATGCAGATTTAAGTCCTTGTCTTCTGCATTGATAAAGAGTTTCTAGAGATAAGGTCATCCCCCCCTCTTCCTGGTACAGAGAGGGAGACGCTTTTACAGATGGAGATTTCCTTTAGAATGTAAATGTTTCTTAACAAAGGGTAAGTAAACTCTGCTTTTCAGAGTTGCTTTCCTGTCCGCAGTTTAAAAGTAACCAGCCCCAAACAATCCTCATACCAAAGAGACATATCTTGGGGTGGCCAATTCCAGGCCTCCACAATATCTATATAAATATATATCTTTTTGGTTCTGTTTCTCTCGAGAACTGCAACTAATACACATGGCTTCTTGTTCCTCACCTGAATCCGTCCCTAGAGATTGCATAAAATGAGAGGGGCATTGATGGATCACAGGACTAAGAGTAAAGCTATCAGCTCTCTGCTAGAAAGGCTTAAATGATAAAGCTGGGAAACACCATGTGTCGGTAAGGATGAGCAGGATGAAGAACGATCATACACTACTGTAGCGATGTGACTGGTGTAAGCCCTTTGGAAAACTTCCTGGCAGTATTATCTAAAGCTGAACTATGCATATTCTATGACCCAGTAGTTTCCCAACACAAATGGGCACTTATGTTAACCAAAAAAATGTAAAGATGAATAGAGCAGCTCTGTTTGTAATTACCCCTCATTGGAAACTACCTAAGTGATCATCAACAGCAAAGTGGACAAATAAATTGTAGGATATTCATACCATGCAAAGCATAAGACAATGAGAATGAATGATCTATCACTACTGGGAATAACACGCATAAGTCTCACATCATAATTTTAAGTTATAGAAAAGTTAGACACAAATGAATGCATGCTGTTTAAGTTCACTTATATAAAATAAAAGCTAAGAAACCCTTGAGTGCGTAGTGGCTGGAATGGGCTAGGAAGAGGCTTCTGAGATGCTGGTAATACTCTGTTTCTTGATCAGAGTGATAGTTACATGAGGGTGTTCCACTTGTGAAATGTGTACAAGCTACATACATTTACAGTTTCTGCACTTTTCTTTGAGAACATTCTAGATGTGGGTCAGAGGCTGGTCAGATCACAGCGTGAAAAAGGTGGGAGGTGGGAGGGGAAATGGCAACCTAGAGCAGGGAAGTGCTGGGTGCCATGGACAGGAGATAGGCTGAGACGGAGGTTTCTAGTTGTGCCCTTTTTTCTGCATACTTTGCCCAGGTGCATCATTGCTTGGCCTATGGCTGCAACAGAACAGAAGAATGGCAGCAGCAATTCTAGAGTCTGGTCTGGGGCGAAAGGAGAAGATCTCAACACGTGCAGAGATCTACTGCAGCATGGCCTCTGGGTGTTTCTTCTTGCCCATCCATATCAGGCTGAAATCAAGGGGCTATGGAAGTTCATTTCCATGGGTACAAAGCAAAAATTGGATAGCAGTTTCCAAGCCTGCATCCTGCTTCGTAAGCTTCTCTGGATATTGTAGTCAGAGATAAAGAATGGAGCAGAGTCTCAGCTGGCTGCAAATTTAGTTGGAATTTTCTCTCAAGGACTAGAGATACTCAAGATGTGGCCCTTGGCCTAGAAGCATCGACATCATCGCCTGGGAGCTTGCTAGAAATGGAGATTATGAGGCCCCACCCCAGACCTACTGAATCAAAATATCTAGAGGTGGGGCTAGGGAATTCATGTTTTCACAAACCCTCTAGTTGATTCTGAGGACTGCTAGTGTTTGAGAAGCACCATGCCAGAGAAGCACACCAAAGCTCATGGGGTCGTCAGAAGGATGAACTGAGAGATGTTGAGTGGGGGGCATAAGTGGAGTTAAGGAGGGACTGAAATGCATCAATCCATTGACATTTAGGCATAAGATGAGTGTGATTACCTTTAGACACGTTTCCTGCATTAACTCTGTGGTCCTTTAATATGATGCATATGAAAAATGTTGTTCACATACCTGGAACGTTCCCTCCCACATTACTGAGATT